ACTACGTCATTTGAGGCATTAAGCAGTTCTGTGCAAACAAGTGACTCTGCAATGTACAGGCCAACCCCCCCCTTTTGCCTGTTCACTCTGTCACATCTGTATAGGTTGTAACCTGGGATCCATATTTCGTTGTCCAAGTGATCCTTTATGTGGGTCTCAGTGAAAGCCGCGAACATTGCCTTTGCCTCTGCAAGCAGTCCACGGATGAAAGGTATTTTGTTGTTTATTGCTGGCTTTAGACCCTGTATATTTGCAAAGAAGAATGTTATCGGACTGGTGGTATTGTTGGTACTGGGGGGGGATTTTTTTTCCGGCATTAGTATCTGTATCTGTTGGTTTGGAGTGGAGGCCATCGACTGTGGTTCCACTCCAGGAATGACTGGATTTGGTGTACGATTTCTGCCATTTCCTGCCAGTTTTTTTTCCTTCCTGGCACTAAAAAACCTCTCCCTCTTGAGTGGCTGTGGCTACCCAGGTTTTCCCATGGCCTGGATGTTTTGTATCTTTTTGTCCCCTTTAGATGGTATGCCTGGCAATTTAAGTTATAGCACAGTCTTTCCTGTACTGAAGAGGTACACATTTCAGGGTGAAAAAGCTTACAGGAAGGGAGTTTGCATTTTCCTGTTGTCATATGGGCATGACATTTTCTAGGGTGGTCATAGTTGCATGTCCCATCTGTTTTTCCAGATTTCCCATGCCAGCAGATACCAAGTGCATAGTATGTGCACAGGCTTGGTTTCCGTTTGCCTTGGGTTTCTGTGACTGTATTCCCTGTTGGTGCATGTTTCCCTGTCTTATTCCTATCCTCCTTAGCACCAACAATGGAGCTCCCACCAGTTGTTTTTGGTAATTTATCCTCACTATTGCTATTGGAGTCCTCTTGTTTGCTATTTCCTGCGGTATTTCTGGTTTGCAATATTGGTTTTATCTTATCTTTGACTACACTTGTTTCCCTACTATGGCTCCTGTCCTCTATGAGGTCATTTATATGTATTCCTTCCTGCGTATAATTCCCGACTACCTGGACAAAATCTCCAGCTTCACCATTACTGTCTCCCAGGACAATATCTCCAACTTCACCATTTCTGTCTCCCAGGACAGCACCTCCAGCTTCACCATTACTGTCTCCCAGGACAGCACTATCAGCCCCACATTTACTGACTACCAGGACATCACCTCCAGCCTTACAGTTTGTGACTACATGGCCAGTATCAAGGGCAGTACCATTCAGCCCGGACTTTTTATGTTCCCATCTGTTGTAGAAAGCTTCCAGGGAGAGGATGTGAGGGAGAGTATAAGACAGGGAGAGGATGTGAGGGAGAGTATAAGACAGGGAGACGGTGAGGGAGAGTATAAGACAGGGAGACGATGTGAGGGACAGTATAAGACAGGGAGACGATGTGAGGGAGAGTATAAGACAGGGAGAGGATGTGAGGGAGAGTATAAGACAGGGAGAGGATGTGAGGGAGAGTATAAGACAGGGAGAGGATGTGAGGGAGAGTATAAGACAGGGAGACGATGTGAGGGAGAGTATAAGCACAGGGAGACGATGTGAGGGACAGTATAAGACAGGGAGACGATGTGAGGGAGAGTATAAGACAGGGAGACGATGTGAGGGAGAGTATAGACAGGGAGAGGATGTGAGGGAGAGTATAAGACAGGGAGAGGATGTGAGGGAGAGTATAAACAGGAAAGGATGTGAGGGAGAGTATAAGACAGGGAGAGGATGTGAGGGAGAGTATAAGACAGGGAGAGGATGTGAGGGAGAGTATAAGACAGGGAGAGGATGTGAGGGAGAGTATAAGACAGGGAGAGGATGTGAGGGAGAGTATAAGACAGGGAGAGGACGTGAGGGAGAGTATAAGACAGGGAGACGATGTGAGGGAGAGTATAAGACAGGGAGAGGATGTGAGGGAGAGTATAAGACAGGGAGAACGATGTGAGGAGAGTATAAGACAGGGAGACGATGTGAGGGAGAGTATAAGACAGGGAGAGGATGTGAGGGAGAGTATAAGACAGGGAGACGATGAGAAATTTCAATTACTCAGATATGGTAAACATGAGGAAATTAAATCTTCATCAGAGTACAAAACAAATTCTGGCCACAAAATAGAGCGAAACACCAACGTCAAAGACCTGGGAGTGATCATGTCGGAGGATCTCACCTTCAAGGACCATAACACTGTATCAATCGCATCTGCTAGAAAAATGACAGGATGGATAATGAGAACCTTCAAAACTAGGGAGGCCAAGCCCATGATGACACTCTTCAGGTCACTTGTTCTATCTAGGCTGGAATATTGCTGCACACTAACAGCACCTTTCAAGGCAGGTGAAATTGCCGACCTAGAAAATGTACAGAGAACTTTCACGGCGCGCATAACGGAGATAAAACACCTCAATTATTGGGAGCGCTTGAGGTTCCTAAACCTGTATTCCCCTGGAACGCAGGAGGGAGAGATACATGATTATATACACCTGGAAAATCCTAGAGGGACTAGTACCGAACTTGCACACGAAAATCACCCACTACGAAAGCAAAAGACTTGGCAGACGATGCACCATCCCCCCAATGAAAAGCAAGGGGTGTCACTAGCACGTTAAGAGACCATACAATAAGTGTCAGGGGCCCGAGACTGTTCAACTGCCTCCCAGCACACATAAGGGGGATTACCAACAGACCCCTGGCAGTCTTCAAGCTGGCACTGGACAAGCACCTAAAGTCAGTTCCGGATCAGCCGGGCTGTGGCTCGTATGTTGGTTTGCGTGCAGCCAGCAGCAACAACCTGGTTGATCAGGCTCTGATCCACCAGGAGGCCTGGTCTCAGACCGGGCTGCGGGGGCGTTGACCCCCGGAACTCTCTCCAGGTAAACTCCAGGTAAACTCCAGGTGAGGGAGAGTATAAGACAGGGAGAGGATGTGAGGGAGAGTATAAGACAGGGAGACGATGTGAGGGAGAGTATAAGACAGGGAGATGATGTGAGGGAGAGTATAAGACAGGGAGACGATGTGAGGGAGAGTATAAGACAGGGAGATGATGTGAGGGAGAGTATAAGACAGGGAGAGGATGTGAGGGAGAGTATAAGACAGGGAGAAGATGTGAGGGTCAGTATAAGACAGGGAGAGGATGTGAGGGAGAGTATAAGACAGGGAGATGATGTGAGGGATAGTATAAGACAGGGAGACGATGTGAGGGAGAGTATAAGACAGGGAGATGATGTGAGGGAGAGTATAAGACAGGGAGAGGATGTGAGGGAGAGTATAAGACAGGGAGAAGATGTGGAGGGTCAGTATAAGACAGGGAGACGATGTGAGGGAGAGTATAAGACAGGGAGACGATGTGAGGGAGAGTATAAGACAGGGAGAGGATGTGAGGGAGAGTATAAGACAGGAGACGATGTGAGGGAGAGTATAAGACAGGGAGATGATGTGAGGGAGAGTATAAGACAGGGAGACGATGTGAGGGAGAGTATAAGACAGGGAGATGATGTGAGGGAGAGTATAAGACAGGGAGAGGATGTGAGGGAGAGTATAAGACAGGGAGAAGATGTGAGGGTCAGTATAAGACAGGGAGAGGATGTGAGGGAGAGTATAAGACAGGGAGATGATGTGAGGAGAGTATAAGACAGGGAGAGGATGTGAGGGAGAGTATAAGACAGGGAGATGATGTGAGGGAGAGTAATAAGACAGGGAGAGGATGTGAGGGAGAGTATAAGACAGGGAGATGATGTGAGGGTCAGTATAAGACAGGGAGAGGATGTGAGGGAGAGTATAAGACAGGGAGATGATGTGAGGGAGAGTATAAGACAGGGAGATGTGAGGGAGAGTATAAGACAGGGAGAGGATGTGGGGGAGAGTATAAGACAGGGAGATGATGTGAGGGAGAGTATAAGACAGGGAGATGATGTGAGGGAGAGTATAAGACAGGGAGACGATGTGAGGGAGAGTATAAGACAGGGAGATGATGTGAGGGAGAGTATAAGACAGGGAGAGGATGAGGGAGAGTATAAGACAGGGAGGGGATGTGAGGGTCAGTATAAGACAGGGAGAGGATGTGAGGGAGAGTATAAGACAGGGAGAGGATGTGAGGGAGAGTATAAGACAGGGAGGGGATGTGAGGGTCAGTATAAGACAGGGAGGGGATGTGAGGGTCAGTATAAGGCAGGGAGGGGATGTGAGGGTCAGTATAAGACAGGGAGGGGATGTGAGGGTCAGTATAAGACAGGGAGGGGATGGAGGGAGAGTATAAGACAGGGAGGGGATGTGAGGGAGAGTATAAGACAGGGAGGGGATGTGGAGGGTCAGTATAAGACAAGGAGGGGATGTGAGGGTCAGTATAAGACAGGGAGGGGATGTGAGGGAGATAAGACAGGGAGGGGATGTGAGGGAGATAAGACAGGGAGGGGATATGAGGGAGAGTGTAAGGGAGAAAACCATCGTTCGGAGGGTGTGAAGTTAATATCGGAACTTCATATTACTGTAATGTTGTAATACACATTAGAAAAAAAATTATTTTCAGAAACAATTAAATATGCAACATGATCAATTATAATCGGCAAAATAACTATCAAGTTAAACGCTTAAGAAAAATCAGTAATGTAAAAGTTGGCTGGTTCAGGTCAGACTGAAACCTTCGTTAAGTTCCCGTCTCTTAACTTAATATTATAATAAATATAGGCTCATTCTACGTTAATATACGAGTTACTCTAAGAGAATATTGAAAAATATATACACTTACCTTGAACCTAAACAAAAACTATTTTATCTTTGAAAAAATGAGAATAGATCAATGATATACTAGTTGCAACCAGTGACACACTGATGGTTATTGTTATATTTATGGGACAACACTAAACTCGTAAGTATAATACAGCGCGAAAAATGGGAGGTAATCATGTTTAATCCAAGGAAGGGCTAGCTCTAGTTTCTTGAAACAAGAGCCCTTCACTAGCATCAAGGACACCCCCTCCCCTAACCTTGGTGAGGTAAATATGCTTACCAATAAACTCGACATGATGGTTCCTCTCTTTAATACACTTGATAATATTCTTGGCGACGTTCTCCCCGAGTCTTCCCTCTCTGGTGGATCCCAGGATCACCACAAAACGAAGAGAAGCCATTGTATGTCTTCTTCAGTGTACAAGTCCTGCACATTCCACATAAAAACCCCGTTGAAAAAGTTTAAAATTACGTATGAAGTCTAAAATGTTAATATACGCATAAGCTACTATGTAAGAATTATAACAATAAACTTATGTAGTGAATATAATAAACCTTAGATAAACTTACCTGAAGAAGTGAACAACAAGAACTGAGGCAGCATGTATGTCCACTCTACTTATCATCATCTGCAACATTACCGTCGACTCTTATTTAATATCAAATTTTTACTCATGTTGACAGATTGTCCTCGTTTATGACTAATGTATATAATCTTGCGTATATGCAAATATGCAGTTTTTTATGCGTACATTCTAATAACGCTATGACCAGTTTGAGATTAAATCAATTATAATTGACTCTTGGCATTTTTGTTATTGTTGGGTTAAAAGGTTTTGATGGGTAAGAGTTAAAGTATATAATTAAGTTTATTCAGGTAACTAAATAAATAAATAAAGTTTATTTCTTTGTAAAGGTTACAATGTGTAATTACAATTTTGATTTGCTAAGTACCAAGATAACCACTATCATGCCAAGGCATTTCGGCCAAACTAATCCTAATATATAGTAACTAATTAAAACCAGATAAGACTAATTAGCGGATGTTTTTGGCATATTTGGTTAATATTGAGAAACAAGATGTTTTATGAATTGGCAGAATTAAGAGCCTAGAGGTCACATAATAAAACTAGTTAGCAGATGTTTGGTTGATTTAGTTAATATTGTGAGATAAGATGATTTTTTAGCAAAGTCCTAAATTTATAAGCTGTCTGGGGATCCTTGACTTGTTCCGGTAGTGACTTCCAGATCTTCGGGCCTTTTAATAAGTCACTCTGTCTGACTTTTTTGGATTATCCCAGGTTCTCTACACATATGCTGCTATGTACGATAATTCTATGTAACTGTATTTGTGTATACCTGAATAAACTTACTTATGTGCATAACGTTCTTACATAGTGAGAGTCTGACATACAGTTACATAAATTGACTTGACTTAAGAAATCGTAATGACACGGCAGTGAAGGGACTTGAGCTAGAGTTCGTCACGGCCACGCTAGCTGGAGATTCGTCTGTAAAAACTTGCATTTGTGGTCACAGAGGTGCCTGTGCTAACTTTCCTATGGTGTAGAAATATACCTAGTTGGATGAATCTTATTGTGGCTAGCTGGTCTAGTGGCTAGCGCGACGGGCTGGAGTTTTGAGATTCTATGACCGCGGGTTCAATCCCGGCCGGGGGTATGGTTGAGTTACATAAATTATCATACATAGCATATGTGTAGATTACCTAGGATAACCCGGACAAAGTGACTTATTTCCATTCTTAACCATGACTGAGCTAAAAAAAACAATTCTAGCTGAAAAAGATAAGATTTTGTTTGGATTTTTTTTAACCCTTGAGGGTCACCCAGGATAACTCAAGAAAGTCAGTGCGTCAATGAGGATTGTCTGTCTTATTTCCGCTGTGATCCTTAAATCTTGTTCCCCAGGATGCCACCCACACCAGTCTATTAACACCCACCTACTTACTGATAGGTGAACAGTGCAAGTGTAAGATGACTAACACCCAGGTACCCACTGCTAGGTGAACAAGGACAAGCAAGTGTAAGGTGACACACCCAGGTACCCACTTACTGCTAGGTGAACAAGAACAAGCAAGTGTAAGGTGACACAACCAGGTACCTACTTACTGCTAGGTGAACAAGAACAAGCAAGTGTAAGGTGACACACCCAGGTACCCACTTACTGCTAGGTGAACAAGAACAAGCAAGTGTAAGGTGACACAACCAGGTACCTACTTACTGCTAGGTGAACAAGAACAAGCAAGTGTAAGGTGACACACCCAGGTACCCACTTACTGCTAGGTGAACAAGAACAAGCAAGTGTAAGGTGACACAACCAGGTACCTACTTACTGCTAGGTGAACAAGAACAAGCAAGTGTAAGGTGACACACCCAGGTACCCACTTACTGCTAGGTGAACAAGAACAAGCAAGTGTAAGGTGACACAACCAGGTACCTACTTACTGCTAGGTGAACAAGAACAAGCAAGTGTAAGGTGACACACCCAGGTACCTACTTACTGCTAGGTGAACAAGAACAAGCAAGTGTAAGGTGACACAACCAGGTACCTACTTACTGCTAGGTGAACAAGAACAAGCAAGTGTAAGGTGACACACCCAGGTACCTACTTACTGCTAGGTGAACAAGAACAAGCAAGTGTAAGGTGACACAACCAGGTACCCACTTACTGCTAGGTGAACAAGAACAAGCAAGTGTAAGGTGACACACCCAGGTACCTACTTACTGCTAGGTGAACAAGAACAAGCAAGTGTAAGGTGACACACCCAGGTACCCACTTACTGCTAGGTGAACAAGAACAAGCAAGTGTAAGGTGACAACCAGGTACCCACTTACTGCTAGGTGAACAAGAACAAGCAAGTGTAAGGTGACACACCCAGGTACCTACTTACTGCTAGGTGAACAAGAACAAGCAAGTGTAAGGTGACACAACCAGGTACCCACTTACTGCTAGGTGAACAAGAACAAGCAAGTGTAAGGTGACACAACCAGGTACCCACTTACTGCTAGGTGAACAAGAACAAGCAAGTGTAAGGTGACACACCCAGGTACCCACTTACTGCTAGGTGAACAAGAACAAGCAAGTGTAAGGTGACACAACCAGGTACCCACTTACTGCTAGGTGAACAAGAACAAGCAAGTGTAAGGTGACACACCCAGGTACCTACTTACTGCTAGGTGAACAAGAACAAGCAAGTGTAAGGTGACACACCCAGGTACCCACTTACTGCTAGGTAAACAAGAACAAGCAAGTGTAAGGTGACACAACCAGGTACCCACTTACTGCTAGGTGAACAAGAACAAGCAAATGTAAGGTGACACAACCAGGTACCCACTTACTGCTAAGTGAACAAGAACAAGCAAGTGTAAGGTGACAACCAGGTACCCACTTACTGCTAGGTGAACAAGAACAAGCAAGTGTAAGGTGACACAACCAGGTACCCACTTACTGCTAGGTGAACAAGAACAAGCAAGTGTAAGGTGACACAACCAGGTACCCACTTACTGCTAGGTGAACAAGAACAAGCAAGTGTAAGGTGACACAACCAGGTACCCACTTACTGCTAGGTGAACAAGGACAATCAGGTGTAAGGTGACACACCCTGGTACCCACTTACTGCTAGGTGAACAAGAACAAGCAAGTGTAAGGTGACACACCCAGGTACCCACTTACTGCTAGGTGAACAAGGACAAGCAAGTGTAAGGTGACACAACCAGGTACCCACTTACTGCTAGGTGAACAAGAACAAGAAAGTGTAAAGTGACACACCCAGGTACCCACTTACTGCTAGGTGAACAAGAACAAGAAAGTGTAAGGTGACACACCCAGGTACCCACTTACTGCTAGGTGAACAAGGACAAGCAAGTGTAAGGTGACACAACCAGGTACCCACTTACTGCTAGGTGAACAAGAACAAGAAAGTGTAAGGTGACACACCCAGGTACCCACTTACTGCTAGGTGAACAAGGACAAGCAAGTGTAAGGTGACACAACCAGGTACCCACTTACTGCTAGGTGAACAAGAACAAGAAAGTGTAAGGTGACACAACCAGGTACCCACTTACTGCTAGGTGAACAAGAACAAGAAAGTGTAAGGTGACACACCCAGGTACCCACTTACTGCTAGGTGAACAAGAACAAGCAAGTGTAAGGTGACACAACCAGGTACCCACTTACTGCTAGGTGAACAAGGACAACCAAGTGTAAGGTGACACACCCAGGTACCCACTTACTGCTAGGTGATTTTTTTTTTTTTTTTAGATTTTGCCACCGAAGTGGCTAGTTTATTGTGCACCCCATATCCATCCTGTGGACAGTAGCGCGAGAGCATATGGATACACAAAAGGCCTAGGAACTAGGCCCCAAAGGGTTAACAGGAATACATATGGATTTATATCTACATGTCTATAGTTCACTTATCTGTTACAAGCAAATTTAGGAAATTTGCTTAGTATATCTGGTATCTTATTTTCATTAATAAGATGTCTTGACATGTCACATAGGTTATTATACTGTCTGTCTCTGTATTCCTCAATAAGTGGACAATTAAGCACATAGTGTTCAAGAGAGTGACCATATGCCTGATCACATAATTTACATTTAGTTTGATCATCATCTGTGTGTCTCCCAAACTGCCAGAAGTACTTGTAACCAAGCCTAAACCTGGCCACTACAACATCAGTCAGTCTGTTCACATTGCAAGTTGCTCCATAAACATACTTATCTACGTTCATGTTATCATAGTGGGTTATAGATCTACTCAGGCTTCTAACTGCATTCCTATAGCAATCATTTTCATTATTTACTTCTCTCCTAATATTATTCCTAATGCTAGACACAGTTATACCAAAGTTATATTCTACGTTCTCCTTCTGGATACTCTTCTTGGCTAACATATCAACTTTATCATGAAGGAGTAATCCAATGTGTGATGGGATCCATAGCAATTGTACATTAATTCCTTTGTCCCTAATTTGTGAGTATCTATACCTGGCTTCCCCAATGAGCATGTTGCTGGAGTCATTATATGAGCCAAGAGCCTTCAATGATGACATAGAATCAGTAATGATGATAGAGTCAAGCTCAGTGTCATAGGTTAGCTTTAGCGCCATTAGGATTGCAAACAATTCAGTTTGCAATGTAGACGCCCAGTTGTTAATTCTTATGCCTAACTCAACAAATTTATTATCGTTCTTAACTAGGGAGGCGGCAACAAGAGCAGATGCAGCCCTGCCAGAAGACTCCTGTTTGGATCCATCAGTGTATATAACTTGTGATAACTTATTACTACCAGCTAGGCGAAAAATTTCTTCTTGAGCAGTCGCTCTAACAAGAGATTTAAGGAAGGGATTACTAGCAATGAGCTTCTTGGGAGGGACTTGTAGGTATGTGATATTAAATGAACACATCTTCCATGGAGGGGTGAAATGCTCTTGTTGCCTACAGTGATACAGTTCATGCAGGTTATAAAACTTAATGCAATTGCACGTTTTCACAATCCATTTAGATCTGTGTGTATTTACCTCTAGACACTTGGTAAGATTCACTGTGACAGTGTCTGGTTTGTTTCTCAACATTCTAATACTAATTCTAATAGGTGAACAAGGACAAGCAAGTGTAAGGTGACACACCCAGGTATCC